AAAGGTATGTCGCACCGAATTAGGCTTGAGAGCCCTTTATTCTTGAATAAAGTGGTAGAGTTCCGGTAAATTTTCCTTATAATCCCTTTACCTGAGCCCTACCAACCGTGCTCCTTCATTCAGGACCCACTTTATTTCCCTCAAAAACCTCGACGAAGTCTCATACATATATAGATATAGTCTCTACTTTGAGTGCAGGTCAATCTATCCTACGTCCTAAATGCATACGGATGACAACCTCTAGGTATATACAAGAAGTTATATCATTATTTTTAGATTTTACAGAGTAATATCGAAAATTGCAAAGGTGGAGCTAATAGATTTTTTAATTGAATTACGACATACTCATTCTTCAGATGCAACCGAAACTCTTCAACTGTCTTTGCAATCATGAACGAGTATTGTGCAGTTAGCTAAGCCCGCTCGCTGGATTCTTACTAGCTCGCTCTGTGTTTCTTTCACTGGGGCAACAACAACTAAAGGTCACAATAAATTTGCATGCTGAAAAGCTAAAAATAATTGCTTTTCTGCTTGATAAGCTGCATTGCCATGGCAACCTAGCCTTTACACAATAAATTTGTATGAATTTAGTAATTGTTGGCAGTTTGCTCTGAGCAACATTTTTATAGGAGATGTTTGCTGTAGTCGCCTGTTGACTAAGAGTAAAGCTAATAAGGGACACAAGGTCCCACTCCGACTCCTGCGGGGGACTCGCAACTTGGCTGGCAGAAGCCAGAGACGGAATGTTGCCCCAACTGTGTTAGCTGGAGAGCCGCATCAACTTACCCTAGTCTACATTGTAGAGACGCGTTTGGCCCTCCGGCCACTCCTTTCAGTGCACTATTCAAAGCAGTTGCGAATCTCATCGCAGCCACGTCCCCATTGTCAAATCGCGCGAAAGTTTTTAAGGTCGCGCAGGCCCCAAAGCTACAAACATACAACTGCTATATGCACATACATATATATGTATATGTATATGTGTGTGTGTGTGTGTTTGAGTGAAACAGTTGCAGTCAACGCGCCCACCCAAATGCCCTTGTTAATGAGCAAACAGCGGCCACGCCTCTTTCTCGTTAGCCCACTTTTTAATAATCACGCTTAGCCTTGCATAAATTGCTAACAGTATTACCAATGAGCCATCGCATTTCGCATTCCGCATTCCACATTCCGCTCATTGCAAATTCAGCGCCTTAATTCCGCGGCAATTAAATTTTAATAAATGGAATCTAGTTTGAGCTATACGAATTATTAACTCGAGCGGCTATATACATATCAAGCAAAAGCAATTCGATTTCTAGTCCAAATTCGTTGAAGGCAATCGAAAACAGGTGAGAGCATTGCAATCGGGCGCGACTGACTGCATAATACTCTGCCATGGTCCAATAACAGCTGAATCATTTTTTTTTTTTTTTAGTAAAGGCGTCAGGACGGTGTCTGCAATTCCAGAATTTTGCAAGATATAGCTTATTATGATAATTATACTATCATATAAAGCTTGTGATGTCTATGTAGCAATATATATATAT